AAGAGGAAGCAAAGAGAAACACTTGATTCTCTTACTGGGCCAATTTGGTATCGAGCAGGAAAAAACTGAAGCTGACAACCGTCTTTTTCACCCATATGACTATAAGCTGTAAACAAGGGGCGTATGCCGCAAGTGTAAATACGATATCTGTCGCGACGCGTCTCAGATTCATATTGACCACACTGGAATCAGAACCACGACACCCCCTCCTTAACAGGATCATATGCGGACGTCTACATCATCCTTGGCGTATACATTATGGATCATGCGTTTTCAGTGATACGGTAAATACACTTGTCTTATTTATCCAACTTTCTAAGTCGCTAGAATGGGCACTGCAATCTCCTTGGATTTGGTCCTACTCCCCAAGCAATGACGTGCGCATCTTTTGCACCCATAAACATCTAGAATCAAAATAATCTCCGATATAATTACTGACTGCGACGAGGTACTATAAGTGATCGATCCAGATAACCCCTGTGGCATTCTCCGCCTTTCAACAATACTTTTTTTGAATAATCCTTTCAGAAGAGGTGTAGCCGAACATTACATGCGACTTAAAATACGAATGGGGTATCACTCGCGAATAAATCACCTCACTGCGTGCTAAAGTACTTAGCGGATCCAAGATGTGAGCATTAATTAGTTTTTTCTCGCCACTAGTTTCTGTTCAAACGAAGCCGAATATAATTCCTGAAACACTGACTACTTCCGCAAACAATGACGCCTATTTAAGGAAACTCGCATCTGATCTATGGTCTCTTCAAGGGCCCTAAGCAAAATTAAAGGTAATCTTAAGGCGATAATCTAGATCTATCCTTCTGTCTGTCAATTCGTATAGTCGATGTGCTTTGAAACATATAAATAAAGGGTATAGAGGATGGACTGCGGGCTCCTTTTCGTCGGCTGTGCTGGTAGACTGCAACATCTGCGCGTCCAAAGTGATTACAACTTTTTGGTTGTGCGTGGATCTGCTCTTCATTCTTGTTCAAATGTAAGTGCATTGAAGTGCTCTCTCATAATAATCAAATTAAATTTTACTTCACTAGATGCTCATGCAGCAGATCAAGTTGTATACGCAAAACAATGCTCATAGTCTGGTGTAGAATCTGTTGTTGCTGTGCATCTGCATTGACGCGTTGTTGCTATCAGAGTCTGCGGGTGGGATATGATTTGAAGCTTGGCATTGTTAGAAATTTCTTCCAAATTCTCCAAGCGTCGAGCGTCCCATTTCATTATCAGATTAGCTATATTCAGCGCCTAGCCTATCTCAAGCAATCCGGATGATTTCTTATGGGTGTCAACTTCCAGTCATGCATGTTCTTTTCCATGATGACGCCGCACCTGTATCAAATATTTTGCCAGTGTTTATAGGATTCACGATATGCTTTTAGATTTGCTGTTGCTACTACAAAAGAAAACTGCGTCTCTAGCTTTGCATGCTAGGGCGTCTCATTGCTTTCTTCATTTCATAAACGTATTAAAACTCGTATACATGCATGAGCTAAGAAGGTATACGTGTGTCTCGGCTTTCCGAACATATCTGTGGGAGGAGGCATGTCCTGGTAGGCCTTTGGTGCCTACAGGCCGTCTCTTGCGAATATGGCTCGGCGTGTACGATTTGCCTTTATTGACTCTACAGCTTATCATCAGTCTTATGCAATTGAGTAAGCATGGACCAGTATACAAAACGCCGACTACTAGTTGATAGTTCTCTCCCCTAATGCTTCGATGATGGGACTGTTAGAATATATTATTTTTTTGATGGGCTTAAAGGTAGAAAGGGGTATACCACCTGACGGTCTCACCTAATTAGCCAGTGGTCAGACTAGGTGACATGTGATACCACGATGAGATGACCGGATAGATCGGACTTGGAGAGACAGGACGACGACTTTAAAAATGGGACAGCGAGGCGGCAATTTGACGTTTAGTAAAAGACGAAACGGCTGCAATGTGGGAGCACCATACGAGACGCCTCAGGCACATGCCCATGAGTAGAATTTTTGCCACGCGTTCTTGGTTTCTAACCAAGATCGAAGTTAGCGCTTATTACACCCACTCATTGAAATAGAACTTGGGTGTGTGAGGGTTATCGATAACCCATTTACAATTCAACTCCTGCTCACCGACCAGCACCGATCCATTCATTCCTATATGGATTTCTTGGGATTACGAGATTTTCATACGCTATAATATACTACGCACATCGACCCTTTTTGTTGGTAGTAGTCTTGCATACGAATTTACATCGCTTTTCACGAGAAGCATGAGGCGACCTGTTTCCTATACTCTTATAGAACGGCTTTTTAGCATTACTGCTCTCGACTAATGTAAACGTTCGCTAAACAACAGAAGGCTTCATTTTGGGGTGTGATCCGATTGATCATGTACAGACAATCGTTTTCACTCAAGATATTGCATTTATGCTCGATTTTACCGTGTACTTAAACGAGTTCATGATAGGTTTCTTCATTGTAAATTCAGTCTGCAATTGTGGTCCATGACTGAGGGACAATGCTAGATCAATAGCTTGGTTGTCAAGCCACACATTAGTCTAAAAGATCATACACACACAACAACGCATTGTATGTAAATGATGTTATCGTTTATTTGTAGGATGTTACAAACTTTACTGGATATAAATGTTCAAAACTAGCGATCCTCTATACTGTAATGATTATGTTTGCCCGATTTGGACTGGACTGAAAGTGCATGCAGTAATGTAGTGAGGTAGCGAGAAAGTGAAGAGCACCCCGACTTCTCAATTTCCTAAGATGAATGTAATCCTGGATTATCAGAATTATCATCGACCGCTTGGTCAACTTCTCATTCCGTGATAATCTGGTTCTTTCGTTGAATAATTGGCCAATTTATTAGTTTCTGTGTTACGCATCACTGGTGTCATTTACTTTATATTCCGTTATTAATAAAAACCTTACATCTAGAAAAGTCTTGCACTCGCCCTGCGCCCTCCCACCGAATGGCGTTCACAGCTACAAATATTTAAAACCATTAGTATGGATGGGCGTGAAGGCCTGATTAAGTGCTTGGCTGTCTATCGACTAAGCAGAGCCGAAATTAATCAGGCGTCTAATGCCGGGGGATGGTACAACCCAATCAACTCTAGTCCAAATTTGTGCTTTTATTGTATGCACGCTTCGTGGGTAAAGAAGGCTAGCTACGAAAAGCAGGCTGGCCGTATCTGCTACATACATCTGCCACCTCTTGCAGCCAGAGGTTTTGCTGGAATGACTTATGCTATAGCGAACAAATTCGTAGCACGATGGATATCATGCCTTGTCATGGACTAGTGAAGTATGCGGTAGGATGAGAAAGCATGACGTCAAGTGATATAGCGCACAGCGCTGCTCAAGTATGGAGATCACTTTAAGAGTTGTTTATTATGGTGGTGTGATAGTAGGGAATTGATCATTGCATATTAAAAAAAGGGCCAGGATGCCCTGTTGCTATTTACTGTAAAAAACTTATACACATTGGCACTGGATACTCAACTCTCTTTTTATTCGTATTTTGCCTTGACATTTACGTCACGGCACCGTAAATGGCTTGTGCACTCTTGCTGTTGTGGTATAAAGGTGACGGGACCCCTTGGTGACTCCGGTAGGTACCAACCCTTCCTCTCAATTCAAATGAAGGTTCTCAATCTTCCTTACGACTAAACCAATGTTGTAAAAATTGTGTACAGCGCTTCAATCTTAGTGGGATTGCCCGAGAATCCTGGTAACATTAAGATTGGCCTGTTAAAGAAGCTAAAACTGCGACACATTTATAGTCAAACGATCCGACTTGCTCGCCCCAAAAAATTCCGGCCGAAAGGTTTGGGGTGCTCGATATCCATGCAGTCTGTTGGAGTTAGTGTTGGCCTACACTGAAGAGTACAGACAGTTATCGTTAGGTGTACATGTGCATTATCTGTACTAAAAGGAACGTGAGGCATGTATAATGTACGCTACATATTCTCGACCGTAAAAGTTGCTCGACTGCGGTACGATCATATTATGTAAGTTTTAGACAAGAACAGACGAAAATAAACTAAAATTATGTCGACGAAAGAGTTACATGGACATGATTGCGAGATTCTTGGCATACGCGTGTCTGTACTAATGGTGTGATTCCTGAAATTTGTATAATTTCACTTACGATTAATTCAAACGTTTGCATTTGTCATCTTGATGAAATACTTGTTTGTCAGTTAGCCATTTAAATGCATTCATTTGTATTTGCATGTTTTTGTTAACACATTCTTCGACCTTGCAGTTTTTATTCTGAATTTTTTATGTGATTTTCTATCATCTTTCTTTTTGGGAAATGATATTTTCTCCAACCATTTTTACTACTTTTAACCCCAGATAGTAAAACGGAGTGTTTTATATTGTTATAACATAGCGCGATGCACAAGGTCATGCACCGCGTAGATGCCGATGTACGTATAGTCCAGAAGATAAGCACACTTTAAGTTGAAGCCGACCATCATGAGCAAAACTTGCCACAAAGTCAAAGAGGATGGCGAGCACGCCTAGGGTCTCTCGACCATGGATACTGGCGATATAGAATCCCGAGAACGACAGCACAGAGAGATAGATCACGAACGCGATCTCAAGTGGCGGTCCAAAGCTGTGCAATTTTTTTTGAGTCATTCAAACGTTTTGTGAAGTGCTGGAGCTGCGTACGAAATGTACCACATGCTGGAACATTTTCATGCTACTTACACTATAAGTGGGAGAAAGACGAAGAACAACAAGAATAGCAAAAGCATATCGAATTTTCCAATACCCACCCTACAGCTGCTGTCAGGCCGCTAGGTGCGTGCGGCCGAGTAAAGTGGTAATTACAGCGTAAAAAGTAAAAAGAGTAAAAAGATAGGTCTGACGTCATTGGATGACGTCACTGAAGAAGCTTCTAGAAGGATCTAGACGGGTAGGTTTAGAGTAGCACAAGGTAGCGAATTAAGGACCTACATGAATTCAGTTTTCAATTTACCTAGTGAACGACAAGTCTTCACATCTGGTAGCACTTGTTGGTCCCCGCCGTTCCCGCCTTCTGCCGTCCGCGCCGTCTGCCGTACCCGCCGTCTCTGCCGTCACCGCCGTCCCCGCCGTCTCTTCCGTCACCGCCGTCTGCCGTACCTGCCGTCTCTGCCGTCCCCGCCGTCTGCCGTCCCCGCCGTCCCCGCCGTCTCTGCCGTCACTGCCGTCTCCGCCGTCTTCGTCGTTACCTTTGTAACCGTTGTAACCGTTGTAACAGTCGTAGCAGTCGTAGCCGTCGTAGCCGTAGTATCCGCCGTCGTCGCTCAAGAGCAGTGATCTAGAGAATCCATCGTAAGTCCCAATCTTTTTGAGGGCAGGGACTCCTTTTCATTGGCTGTAAATCCTACCGGGTCATTATCACTGCTACCGTTATCGAGGTCGTGGTCTTATTGACTATAAATCGACTCGTTTCGGGAATAAGTCAGTTTGGTTAACGGAAGGTTAGTACTTCGGTTCATGACCCGCCACCCGCGCAAGCAACCTACGCCACTCGACATTAACGACTCGCTGGCACAGCTATCCGTGACAAAGCCGGACGCAGCCTACAAGTGCCGTGCGGACTTACTGAAAGCAATCCGTCGCACCAGACGCATTCTTATCCGCTTCGAGAAGCATCTGGACACGGCCCAACGCTCCGACTCGCGCAAACACATCAAGACTCGGCTTGTGGCGCAAGCTAGCGACTTGCTCAGCTTTGAGAGCACTGTGAGCTTGCGCATCTCACGCGAGATTACCAAGAACACGAGCAAAATTGCCCGAGTCCCGTTTTTCAGACCACCAGGATACAAGGTCGTGCCGCCCATCAACAACCGACGGCCAAGTTAAACAAGTCTTTGAAGCCCGGATCAAAGGTTGTCAAGAGAAGTACCAAGACCATAGCTACGCCAAGTACAATTAACTAATCGTTGATATCAGTTAATTACTGTGCCGTTCCATAATGTCCACCCCAATGACTTCCGATCAGCATGCACAACTGCTGCAATTGATGGTTGCGACTATGGAGAAACAATCTCGGTTGCTAGAGCAGTTTCAAAGGTCCACACAATTATCGGAAAATAAGCTTGAAGGTGTAAAGCTTCCGACGTATGGTGGCAGACTGGACGAATCGTTCCACCTCTACAAGGAGCAAGTAGAGCAATACTTCTTTGCACGAGGAGTGAATTGGAAGTGTCAAGAGCTCTCTCTACGTATACTAGCCGTGTTGGGGGGCATACTAAAGCAAGGAGCTGCTCAGCGGTATGTCATGCAAAAGCAGTACATCACAAACGTTGACGACTTCTTCTTTAAAATCGAACGGGAATTCGTACCAGCTGATTTACAAGAGCGTCTGCGTGAAGAAATGAATGATGTGAGAGAGCGCGATTGCAAAGACCTCCCTGAATATGTGAGCAAGATTCGACACGTGGTAAGTCAAGTCCAAGACACGATCGAACTGGACCGGATTCTGTACTTCCTACGCGAACTTTCTGGTCGCACGCGAGAAGAGGTCCAATACCGTCACTGTACAACGTTGTCGCAAGCTATTACTGTTGCTTTGGACTTTGACCGTTCGCATCCACCAAATTATCCCCGTGCAGCTCACAAGATAAATCTTGGTACAGGTCATACGACAATAGTCGTCGATATCAATCAAACACTGGCCCAGAGCCAATGGACGTTAGCACCGTGCAGATTCATTCTCGGGACGAATGTCGTAGCCGAAATTTGTGTTTCAAATGCGGTAGTACGAATCAGCGCTCCGCACAGTGTCATCAGCTATCCACACGTTCTGTTCGGGGAAGCACGGATTCTGGACGAAACTATCAACATCAGTTACATCGTCAGCATGTCAACAATGTGGACAGCCGCGAGGACGAACAGGACAAAAGCGTTTACTACCGAGTCACGATCAATGTAGTGGAGGTACAAAGGAATTATATGGTACCATATATTGCTTTCCACTCAAGTAGCTAGGGGGCGGACATACCTGCGCAAATTCGGCTATTCGTTCGTGATGGTGTTGTTGGTAATCAAACCGTTAAGATTTTGATAGACTCGGGAGCGTCAACAAATTTAATCAAACCTGGTCTGGCATCCAAAGTTCTTAGCGAGCAGATGGTACAAGCACGACGTTTTGATGATACCTGGACATCGAGTCAAACCACAAAGCGGGTGGAATATACCACTCGAATCAAAGGTATGGAGTTCCCTAAAATGCAGTTTACGGAATGGGATCTACCGGATACACATGACTTGATATTTGGTCAACCATGGTTTACCTTGTACAACCCCCAGATCAACTGGCGTACGCAACAAATTGAAGTTGCCACACATACGACATTCGAAGACGTGGATGGTCCGACCTTCCAAGAGAAAATGACTAGCGAAGCCTAAAAGCAAATATTATAATTAAAAGCTACCACCATAGATCATACGGAGATACCGCCCGAGCTACAGCCAGTACTGGACGAATACTAGGACGTATTCCCCTACCAAACTTCAGAGGTAATGACTCCGACGCGATCGGTCAACTTTGAACTATACATGAAGCCTGATGCGGTGCCGAGTTTTGGGGCCCCCTTCCTTCTATCGAAAGTGGAGCATGACTCTCTCCAACAGTTTGTGGAGGAGAATATACGGAAATGATGGATCGAGGTGTCCAACTCTCCATGGGTCTCAAATGTCTTTGGGATTCCCAAAAAACGATTCTGTAACCGGAAGGTTCCCTAAACGCGCCGAATGGCTCTGCAGCAGGAATTCCAAGATCCCCTTAAGATGGGTATTTGACTACCGCTATGTTAAAAGCATGTCTGTCGTGGCAAAAATTCTTTTGCCACTGATCGAGGAATTGTTCGACCGCATGGTCGAATGTAAGTTTTTACGCTTCGAGATCTTGCGCAAAGTTACCATCGAATGGTAGTCTTACCATCAAGTCGACCCTATAAGGCTTTTCTCACCCAAAAGGAAACGTATTAATGGTGTGTAGCACCCATGGGCTTATCCGGAATGCCTGGTGTCTGGTCGCGTCTTATGCGCACGTTGTTCGACCAACTCGGAACCTTTGCCGTGGTGTATCTTGACGACATATGTATCTTCTCCCGTACAATAAAGGATAACGTCGGCCACCTTCGCGCAGTATGCGCCGTATTGCGCAAGGAGAAGCTTTATTCTCGACTCGCCAAACGTGCGTTTGGTCGTAACAAGATTGCATTTTAAGGGCATATAGTTTCCATCGAGGGTCTGCGTGTCGACTCAAAGAAGACCGATGATATTGCAATGTTTTAGGCGCCTACGTGTCGCAAGGAGCTGCTGAGTTTTCTTGGACTCGCCGGGTATTACCGTCGCTTCATCTGCGATTTTGCCAAGCTGACACGTCCTCTTCGAGCATTAACCAAGCAAGATACTCGCTGGAGCTTGGGGGAGGATCAACAGCGATCATTTCACGCATTTAAACTCGCACTTCAGCAGGCTCCGACGCTAAAGCTGCCAGACTTTACGCACCCTTTTATTGTCACTACGGATGCGTCTGGGTTCTGCATGGGCGGTGTCCTCTCTCAGCACATCAATAATAAAAACCACGCCCTTGCGTTTTATTCGAAACATCTGGGCCCCCACGAATTGAAATGGCCAGCTCATGAGAAAGAGCTGTTAGCGATCAAGACTGCTTTCGCGAAATGGCGTCCGTATCTCCACGGACGACAATTTTCGGTATACACCGACAATTAAGCGTGCAAATGGATGCTCCACCATCCCAAAGTGTCGCCAAAGATGGAACACATACTGACGTTCTTCTCCCAGTTCGACTTTGTATTACATCATGTTAAAGGACGGTCTAACGTCGTGGCCGACGCATTATCTCGCCCGGCCGTGTCTGGAGATCCATCCAGCGCGCTCGCTGTTCCTACATGCTAAGTTCCTGATCTGTCGTACGTCGTACATGATTGTACGGATAATTGTGCCCTCAGCTCTCATCATTTGCAGCAACACATGGTTCACTCCGCTCTCATGCGGTCCATTCCGCTCGAAGTCGCACACCTCTTACTTGACAATGTGGAGTTGCGGGGGGAGTGTCGTCTGATAGGAATCGCTCGGGAGCAAATCCACAACGCCGCGTTTCACGTGATGCGCGCCCATCTCAGTGACAAGGTGCAAAAAACGATCCAGCAAGGATATCGCACCGAAATTTTTTTTCAAAAAATCTAAAGAACTCAACAATCGAATGACAACTTTCTAATCGACAACGGACTCATATATGTAAAACAAGATGAGGCTTTGCAGCAGATATGCAATAAGACATACCAGAAATGAAGACGAAGATTCTATACGAGTTTCACGATGCAGCCACAGCGGCACATCCAGGAGTGCGCCGAACTTACGTGAAGCTAAAGCAATGGTACTACTGGCCGAAGATACCTGTAACCGTGCAGAAATACGTGGAGACATGTAAAACATGCGCTCGATGAAAGTCTAACAGCCAGCGGAAGAAAGGAATAATGATTCCTATTCCCATTCCAGAGGAATGCTGGAAAGTAGTGTACATGGACTTCATTACTGGGCTACCCGTGTCGGAAGGTTATGATACTATTTGCGTCGTCGTAGACAAGTTGTCAAAGAGGCCAATTTATGCGCCAACATATACGAATGCCTATTCGAAAGACACCGCAGACCTATTTTTCGACGCTAAAGTCCGACATCATGGATTGCCGAAGGTTACTATCAGCGATCGGGATCCAAAGTTCACGGCGAACTTCTGGAAATCGCTGATGGATGTAATGGGTGTCAAGTTAAGCATGACGACCGCTCATAGAGCGCAAGCAGATGGGCAAACAGAGCGCAAAAACTTGGTGTTGGAAGACGCTTTACGCTGCCTGGTATCGTACAGTGGCAAAAATTGGTCCAAGCTACATGGTACTGTAGAGTACGCGCACGCTACGTCGGTGAACGCGTCTACTAAGCTAACCCCGTTCAAATCGATACTAGGAGAAAGGTATCCAATCTGATTTCTAATGAATACAGAGACCACGCTGATCTGGGCTCACATTCAATTTCAGAATTTGCCTCCAAATTTGTCAAAGCTCGTCAAAAACTAGTACGCAAGGCACGCGAAAACCTGTAACAAGCTCAGGAAAGGCAACAGAAGCACTACGACTCGAAAAGAAAAAGCATTACATTCAATGTCGGTAACTTAGTTCTGTTGGAAGCCAAGAACCTACCGCTCAGAACAGTGAACGCTCACATCGATCTAAAGAAAGCGAAGCTCGCAGCAAAATAAGTGGGACTGTTTGAGATAATCAGGATGATCAATCCAAACGTAGCCAAGTTTAAGCTACCGCAAAATATGGAGAGACTGTATTCCTCATTCAACATCGACCTACT